AACATTTAGATGACGTGTGCCGTATGAAAAGGGAAGACACTGGAAGATTAGATGCTCTTAGCATCAGAACCAACTTCAGGACTAAACGGTCTTTGAGGCCGATAAATACATATTTAGCAAATGGCAAACAAATGGATTGAAACTATGCGGCTTGGTTTGAGAGATAAGTTTGCACGTTTCCGTTGAGTTTTTCATACTCTCCACAAGACTGAGAATGTGCTCAAAAGCCGTCTGTCTCTGAACTGTTCACTCTGCTCTCACACTCCTCTCTTGCATCATCCCTCCGAAGAGTCACTGGAGCATTTTCTGCACCACGCTGCGCCGATTGCATCTCGTCATCTTGACGGAATTACGGCTTGTCGCTGCCATTACACGTGTTTCACGTCACGCTGACAAAAATCGAAAGGGCTATTTGTCTGACGCTGGTTTTTGATTACAGAGATATAGGATATCAGAATGTGTGTGTGTGTGTGTGTGTACGTGTACACAGAGTTGTGTGTGTGCCCTTCAGTGCCCATCGAAAGGCACATGTACTATGTGTATTTGTGTGCGATATGATTCAAGGACGAGGGAGGTTGAGTGCAGCGCTGTTGTCCGCTGCACTGACGGGAGATGTGCATATGATGTGCGTGGGTTCTGTAAGAGCTGTGGCGGGCAGCTCTCCCATACATACCAACAGGGAGGGCTTCAAAGTGCTCCTTTTTAAAGAGGCCTCTGCTTCTGAAACGGCTACAGGGAGACGAAAAAGCCGTACAGAAATGACCACATATTTGCCGATAATATAACTGTTCCTCAGCGTTACTTATGAGGCAGTGCTCTGCGTTTGATTTCGACTGAATTGAAGCGAGGGGAAGAAGGCTGGATTTGGGAGAAAAGGGCAGGTGAGATTCACGGGGAGGAGGGAGGAGGGTGGCCGAGGAGGAAAGGTGTGGTGCAGTGACCCGGAGCCGGCTGGCTGCTCGCTCACATGTCAAAGCCAAAAAGGCAGAGCTGCCTGCCTGCGTACCCATCTGGGGCCCACACACAGGAAGACACGGACACACACACTCGCACTTAGGCATGAAAGAAACACACATACGCACATCAGTAGGAGTGGAAGCACCCCATTGTCTCAGAAGGAAAGGGAAGGCCGGTTGTGTCTGCGGTGAGCCTGCAGGTGGTGCCTCTAGGATTTTGCATACTTTAATTCTGATGGGTGTGTCTATTGAAATAAATTGACTAAATCTTTGTTTTACAAGTGAAAACGAAAAACTCTTATGACACAGCTGCACACATTTGCGTTTCCAGGTAGCTCTGGTGAACTCGTTGGAGATCAGCAGCGGTTTCAGACGTGCTTTCCTTTTGAATAGCCAGTTACGTTATCAGGCGATCTGTATTGAGACTATAGTCCACCGAATCTCACTGCCTCCCTCCCAGAGGGAGAGCGTGGGCTTTCAAAAGCGGCCGTTTGCTGCTGAGGTATATCCTCAAGGCAGCGGGAAAAAAAACAACCAAGGAAACATGCTATTATATTCGCTTGCAATCCCAGGAATCTCCCACAGCTGAATACCAGGAAAAAAAAAAGCCAGGCTTTTCTGCCCGTGTTGTCTTGTTGTCAGCGAGGGATTTGATGTCCCTGCTGTGCGTGACAGTTTGGAGCACAGGTCCCGGTAGCAACTGGCCACGTGTTATGTAATCCGCCACAGATGAAGAGCTCTCCATTCAGGCGGCCCTACAGCTCGCTGTGCCATTCACTCGACACTGGGAATACAAAGGGCCTTCGCCACTAACAGTCTGCATTAGGGCGAGTTTAATATGCACTCTGTTGACATACTCCTTTGTCACTTTGTTGATCTTTCCACCCGGCCGGTTGTAGGGTTCCTGTCATTCATTGCGATTTTGGCAACCCTTCGTCAGCTTTATCGGCTGAGGACATGAAGTTATGAGGCTGCACAGCTGATCCACTTGCTGTTTATGTAACTGGCACCGGTCTTCCCTAAGCCCTGGGGCTCGTTGCGGTGTTACTTGGCTCCAGGAGGAGGCAGAGGCATGCAGGTATTAATGGTCACAAGCCGCCACTCATATCTTAAGCCGCGAGTGGCTTAAGCTCTTTGGCTGTGGGTCCGCACGATAAACAAGCCTTTTAAAAGGGATTGGGAACCTGTCTTGGGGGCGTCGACGGTAGCTAGTAGCTTGTGACCTTTAACCCTTTACTGAGACAGTTAGAGATAGTGCTGGTGGCGCAGATAAACCAGTCTCAGCCATTATCTTTGGTAGCCTGTGTAGTTGCTCTGACGACATAATGTTGTTGTTTTTTTTTTTTTTTACCAGAATTTGTTCAGAAATACTGGTAAATGCTTTTACCAATTACCAGGCAGCCTAATGTGTAGTACTCCCTCTCTCTCCTCTCTCACAGTCACGCGCTGTTCCTCCGTCACCACCTTTGTTTTTCCTTCTTGTTTTTCCGGCGCTTCTTGTAGTTATCAGAGTTGCTCCACAGCAGAGCACATCGTGCACCCAGAGATTAGGACAAAATGTCACGTCGACGTCTCTCCCGTCTGTCTACCATTGAGAGGTACGGGGAGGGCGTTTGAGGGCAGCATGTGTTTGCTGTAAGAGGAGATCACACCGTGCAGAAAGTAGCTGAACTTTTAAGATGGTGCCGGCGTGGCAGACTCCTCCTCCTCCTCCTCATCATGCGGGTGGGGAAAGGGTGTTGATGTTTTCGACACTGACTCGGCACAAAGTGGCGATTCAGCAGCTCCTCACACCGCACTCTCTAATAGAGCGCTGGGAACCGTAATGGGGAGTTTTTGGGCTAGATATGTGGTGTCTGCGGTCAGTGTACCCCCCCCCCTGCTTCCTCCGTACATTCATCCTGTCAGTTTGGGTCAGGGAGAGGGGACGAGTGGTTGTAAGTAGGGGTTATCTGAGGGGAGATGTTTTAATCTCGATGGGAGTGGAGGAGGAGAAGATGGTGGCCTCCTCGCGTCTGGCGTCTGTTAGCATGGCGCCTGTAGACATACATGTCCGTACAAGACCAGTGTGTCCTCCTGCTCTGCCCTCGCAACCTTCGTTCTTTATCAG